CCAATCTTCCTTCCAACGACCGCCGGGTGGGTTTGAACCTCCAGCCTTCTGGTTGATTAGCAGTCAAATGCTTTAGGTACTACACCACAAAATCTCCCTCATTTCCTTCAGAGCACTGCAAATCAACTCAACACATATTTACTGAGCTCCTACTACATGCCAGGACTATCTCAGGTTTTGAGATCCATCACGTTCCTATTCCAGTAGAGGATGGGGAGTAAATAAGAATTTGTAACATATCATAGTTACATATTAGAAGGTGAGAAGTGCTATGAAAAAAATAAAAGATTCTAGAAAATGAAGTTGACACTCAGAGACAAAATGCAGGCTCTCTTAATATTTATTTTACATATGCTGATAAAATTACATATAGGAACCAACTGAGAGCTCCCAAGTAACCAGTTCTGCGTTCAGGTGACTGAAGTATAACGTGAAAACAAATTTTGGCAATCTAGTGTTGTGCCAGTTAAGGTTGTGTATCAATGTGGCTGGGCTGTGACTCTGAGTAGATTGGCAGCTGGATTCAGTTATTCCCCATGATGAGACTGGATGTGGTGTAATCAACTCCATGGTGGAATCTATCCTGAGCAACTAATTGCTTTGGGGTGTGACCTGCTTCCAACAGATAAGGAGAAGCTTTGACGAAGGTCGCCAGCTTGGTGGCACATTTTGGATCCTGCATTTGGCCACCTTCACCTCCAGTCCTGGACTTGAATCCATGGCCTGCCAGGTTGCCCGCTGATATTGGGATTGCTCCTGGACTCAGCGGCTTACTGTGTTGCCTGCTGAGGTTGCAACTGTGCCATTTTACCTGCCAACCTTGAGTCCGTCAGCCTCAGCAGCCAGCAGCTGTCTGAGTTAGGAGATGCCTCAAGTTCCAGTGGGCTTGGAACAAGAGGCAGAGCTGAAGCCCAAAGTCTAGGGGCCTTTAACCCGCCCCTAGAACTGGCACTCTCAATTTGGATTTCTAGCTTGCTACACTTACAAAGTAAATTCCTATTTGTTAAGCCACCCACTTGTGGTGCTTCTGTTATAGCAGCACTAGAGAACCAAGGCAGGTGTGATGCCATTTTTCTAAGTAATTTCTTCTTAAGCATCCAAGAGATGACATTCTCATTGTGGAATTTATTATCCCTTCTGTCTTCATTTGACCCATGACCAGAATGCATAACGAATATGGAGTATTCCCATCAGTAATGTGACTGTGTGCATGTATGTGTATGTGTGTGTGTGTGTGTGTATCAACATTATGGGGGGCAACTGGGAAAGTATGGAGACAGAAGATAAAGCAGTGTGGAAAGTAAATGTGCATGTTCCCTAGGCTACATGCAACTTCTGTGTCCCTCACAAACATTTTCTACTGTCCTCTAGACTTTTAAAGACAGAAAACTCAAGGCTGTAATTTCAGACAGAGGAATAAAGTGATGGGAAAACTTAAAGAGAATTTGAATGTAAACTTTTGAGGGAAAAAAGTTCTGTTCAAAATCCACATAAGATGGATTATCCTACTTCCATAATGATACCGCCTCGGAAACTGAAGGAGGGGTCTCTATGAGTTGGGTCCGACTCGACGGCACATAACAACAACAACAACTTGATAGTAAAAGCCTACTGCCATCCAGTCAATTCTGACTCATGGTACCTACGTGTTAAAGAACATAACTACTCCATAGGACTTTCTTGGCTGTAATCTTCATGAAATTAGCAAGCTAGAGCATGTCTTCCTCCCTTGATAATGTTGTGAGCTGCTGAATTGATTCTGACTCACAGCAACCCTGTATGACAGAGTAGAACTGTCCCACAGAGTTCCCCGGCTGTCATGTTAATGCGAGCAGATTGCCAGGTATTTTCTCCAGTGGAACTGCTGGTGGGTGTGAAGCACTGACCCTGGGTTAGCAGCCAAGCACTGACCCACTGCACCAGGGCTCATTCACTTGATAATAGATACTGTAATACTCTGGAGTACTCTAAAGAAATACCACTAGGTCCTCAAGATCATTAGAACCCAAGGCAGGAAGACTGAATTGTAAACAATGAGTAACTCCACATCGTTGGATTTGAATATAAAATGCACTTAAGATAATTTGACACTCCGGAGTGGTTCAAAGATTCAAATATGTAAAGGGTTATACAGAACAGAGGGTACAGTATAGCCCCAAAATACAAAATGTCAATATCCCAGGCATAGTTGATAATATGATAGAACATTCCTTAAAAACAATGAGACAAGGTTTGTTTTTGTTGTAGAATGAATGACTAAAATGGATGTGCCTGGGTATGATGCGAGGACTGGTGACACCTGTTTGAGAGCCCTGGCAGGTTGCGTGGGAGTAGAAACATGCATATGCTCAATAAACCCCAGTGGGCATCAACCTTGGTGATAGCTCTACTTGGGCCCAGAGCTCAGAGAGGAGCCCCTCCCCCTGCCCTAACCCCCAGTCCCAGTGAGGATCACACCAGGAACAGTCAGAGCATCAGTCCACATTCCTACAGGTCAACTGTTGTTGCACTGGCCCTAGGGAGCCCTGTGTGTCCCTGCCCAGGAGTGTAAACCCCAGGATTATCCCACTAGAGTTGAATTTATCATTGGATCCTATTAGTTTGCTTTTTAAGCTGAATTTGTATCCTTCGGGTTTTGATTATTGTAAATTTTATAACTTTCTCGCCTTCATATGTATAATTGAAAGCAGCTTTTGCTTCCATTTCTTCTATCAGGCTATAATGGACCTGTTACTGTCTGGTCCCACTTTACTCTCAGTGCAGGAAAAGCTGCTCTGCTTATTTCACAATCCATTTCATCAGGATTACTACTGCACTTCTGTTAATTATAATGACTATTTTCAAAATTCAATCTTTACAAATTAAATACTGATGTCTTTTCTCCTTAATGCCCCGTAGTGATCCTTCCTGCGCCACATGGTAGACCTTTATTACCTATACCCTTGACCCTAAAAACCAAACTGGACAGTAAATTTGACAATAGTATTGTAAGTGGAATGGGGCTGCATAATCTAGAAGATTCCAGGCCAAAATTCCAGTGCATGGTAATTACATCTCTGGCTCCAAAAATGTATAGTTGAGTGGCAGGAAAGGGGTTATCTTCTTAATTCCTGAACTAGCCAATGTCCTTCTAGCACAATGCCAATTCCATATAAATTGCCTCAATTAACCAGGGCACTGGTGAATGCACCAGAAGGGACCCCTTTAGAGTTCCTTGAGTTCTCTGTGCAGCTTGGTCTTCTAGTTAGCCAAGGTATGCTCATTTGTCTGAAGCCACTTCCAAGCCCAGGAGAACTTTAGTGGTCCCAAGGTGCCTGCATCCTTTTATAAAGCAATTTCGTTCTCACATCCTCATCAGCAGAGTTGGCCTGATGAGTTTTAAATATTTATTTTCAATAAAGAGAGAGTCACAGACTCTTGGAAAAACAGCCTCTCCAATATGCTTTCTTATGCTTCCACTTCATTTATTTCTTTAATACTAAGACCAAAAACTCTTCTGGAAAGAGACCACAGCCTGTCCTAAGGGTTGTCCACTCAAAAATCTGGAACCCAAAGGATGCCATTCCTCATCTTGCTAAAAAGGAGCAGGGAGATGAAGATGACTAGAGGAAGCCTTTCAAAGAGGAAGCCTTTCTTGCACACTGTTAGTTATACTTTTGTTATGGATTTTTTTTGTACACTGTCTAAGGCATCTGACTACTAACCAGAAGGGTGGTGGTTCAAACCCACCAGCCACTCCATGGAAGGAAGACTGGACAATCTACTCCCATAAAGATTTACTGCCTCTGAAACCCAAAGGGAGTTGCTATAAGTCGGAATTGAGTTTGGTTTGTTTGGTTTTTATTTAAAGATAATATACTTATATTAATTTCTTTTATCTTCCCTTTTTGTTTTCCTTGTTATCTCTCTGTTGCCTTGACCACCCTGTAGGCCAGGGAGTTGGATACAATTGGATATCCCATAGCTGCCCCTCCTCTTCGCCCTTATTTAAAAAACAAACAAACAAAAAGCCACTGCCCTCAAGTCAATTCTGACTCATAGTGAGCCTACAGGACAGGGTAGAACTGCCCTCTAGGGTTTTGGAGCTGTCAATCTTACAGAAGCAGCCTGCCTCATCTTTCTACCATAAAGTAGTTGGGGTGTTCGAACTGCTGATCATTTGGTTAGCAGCAGAGCGCTAAACGTGCCACTAGGGCTCCTCACACCCTTATTTAAAACCCAAAACCAAACTCACTGCCATGGAGTTGGATCTGACTCATAGTGACCCCTCCCTGGGTTTCCCAGGCAGTATCACTACAGAAGTAGATTGCCCAATCTTCCTTCCAAACTTCCAAGGAGTTGCTGGTGGGTTTGAAACGCAAGCCTCTGGTTAGCAGTCAAATGCCTTAGGCACTATGCCCCCAGAGCTCACTCGCCCTTATTTAGGGAAGGAAATTTCACCTACACTTCCTAAGCTGGGTCCACAGTGCCACTAAAGGAGCAAGTATTACCTCTCTCCTCTAGGCTGTATATACAGTTGTGCTGAGACAAGTATCTGCAGAATATGCAAATGAACTGTATGACAGCTATAAAGAACAACAACTGACTCCCTGGGAGTTCATTTACAACTGTATGAACTTCATGGTTGTTGTTTTTTTCCACAGCAACTGATTAGGGCAGGCTAGAGGATAGGTGGGTGGCCTTGGCAGGTAAGGAGGGGGTCTAAACGAGCACACTGCAGGATTACCAATAATGGGTAGACACATATAAAAGGAAAATACAAAGGGAGCTGCAGTAAGATGAAGCACTTCTGTATTTAGTCCAACTCCTAAGGGGGAATTAAAACAAGGGAGAAATGCAAGATAGTAGTATTAATAGATAAGCTTAGTCTGGTTAATAAATTGTGATATTGAGGAATGTTAGTTTTAGAGAATGCGATATGCATGGTATTACCAATCAGAGAGAATTAAAATATCCATGCTCAAGCTGTGTGTGTTTGAGAGCTTTAACACTGCCCTCACAACTCTATAAACAATTCCCGTTTCTCTTCAGATTCTAGTGGGAAAAATGGAGACACAGAACTGTTAAGATGTGACAAGCAAGTCTTATCCCAAGAGCAGAAGAATCATTTGCACCAAGCCTAAGACATACAGAAAACTCACCCACTCATGGGTTGGCAAAAATACTGATGGGCAAGAAAGGAAACCACACTTTCTAAATTACACCTTACTGTAGCATAGTGGCTAAGGCACTTGACTACTAA